GCTGATGAACACGACATTTTTTTAGCCTTTCGGCTAAATTTCTTTCTTTGACTTGGACATATTTCGTGGAATCGTCTTGTTACCTGGTATTACATTTTCGCCGTTTCGATATTGACAATTTACAGGCGACACCAGTTTGTCGTTTATTAATAAGGATTGTGAACGAGTAAATTGAGTCGGAAAATATGACCATCAAATACAATATAATAACACGTGGGCGAGTGGCAATAAGGGTTTATTGCGAGAAGTAAATTGGAGTAGGACGATGTGCCATTCCAACTCATTTCTCTCTAGATTATTTCCAGGAAAATTCTCATAAATCTTATCTTTCGACCACAATGATATATACTTATATCACGTCATATATCACGTGATTTCAAAACCAGGCAAAACCCTTTTATAGTAAGTACGATATGTTTGAATGTGAGGACTTAATCCTACCTGATTCAAAAGTGTTATAGTCTGGCCTAATCTTTACTCACAATAAAGTGTGATTTGACACTTCTTCGTAACGAAACTTGTAACAAATTGTTTTTATTGCTTATTACGTGCATGAGTCACTGGGATTCTGTCATTAATAGTCCCCTAGCCTCGAAGGCGTGATATCATTGCACCAGCTCGTGACAACATTGAACCTTTTGCACGTATGGAAATCGTTTGGCCTTGTTATAGTAATGTAATCATTGGCCACAATTAATAATTTGCCACTATTATAAAAAAATTGTGCTTAAATACTGATCCAAATATGATCACTAGCAGCGAGAGCATAAAATGCTTGACAAATTTTGTCAATTTCACTAAAGTTTGTATTCCAGTGACTGATGAATTTAATTTTTTTTTTTCTATATATTAATAGCGAACGAACCTTTGATGTAAGTTTTTTAACAGTTTTAAACTATAAAAATCGCAATATAATTAATAAAAAACTTCAAAGGCAGTTACCGATTTTTTCTATATAAACTTTATTTATGTTTTGTCCCGCGCCACGACTAGCGTGTGGTCATCGCCTGTGTACCTTTGAATAGGAAAGCGAGTGTTATCAAATCGTCTGGGGCTCTATTTTTGAATCATTCGTCTCGCGTCGAGCGCTCGTTTTCTACTGATTTTCGTTCGACTTAACAAATTCGCCATTTCTAAATCGCTCGACTGCAACGAGTGGTATGAACCACTCGTCGCTTAGCGAACGTTGTATGCGAGTGATAGAAGAAAACGAGCGCTCGACGCGAGACGAATGATTCAAAAATAGAGCCCCTGGTGTGCGAACTAAGCCGCTCACTCGAGAGCGGAAGGGGAAACCGTCTCACTCCAATGCGCCACAACACCAACAAATAACATGTTAATGAGTGTTTCATTCGAGCTTTTTGTTACTTTTTTACCGGCCCTTTGACCTTTACAAAGATTTCATTAGGTGAATTCACATTTGAATGGATGTCATAATTGAAAAAGACGTACAAAAGGACGGATACGTTCGTATAGAAGGTGAAAAGATAAATTTTAAGCGAACAAATAATTTAATGAGAACACTGAATAAAATGTGTTGGTATAATTACTGTTTGAATTAACATACTGATAAAATTATAGTATTAACCAGCGAAAACAAGTTAAAAATATGAATATAAGCTAAGCATTGATAAGGACTTGTTTTTGTAGGTACTGTTTGATAAATTCAGGTAGCGTACAATTGTACCTAATTTATTAAACAGTTAATGAAAATTAATTATTAATTCAGCAATCATGGTATCGTAGAGTCAAATTCATAGTCAAATTCATCATCATCACTTCAGCCGAGAGACGCCCGCTGCTGGGCATAGGCCTCCCCCAAAGATCTCCAAAGCGATCGATCCTGCGCCTCCCGCATCCAGCGGCTTCCCGCGACCTTCACCAGATCGTCGGTCTACCTTGTGGGCCTACCAACACTGCATTTCCCGGTACGCGGTCGCCACTCCAGGACCTTACCGCCCCAACAACGGCCGTCAGTCCAGCGATGTGCCCTGCCCACTGCCACTTGAGGTTCGCTTGATAGTCAAATTACGATAATCTATATAAGAACGTCGCATACCATGGATCTGATGGTATAAACATTTTTCTATGTTGCACTCGTAGTGCTTTAGACACCCTTACCGCTCAACTGGTACAGAATGCTGTAAGCATTGTGGACTTAATGCTGTATTACAATAAAGATTAATTAAATAAATATTAAGTCGCTGTTCTTAAAACAACCTTTAATTATATGTTCATAATTAATAAAATAATATATTATTATTATTATTAAAATACACAGATTCCACACGGTTGTGAAATTGAAACGCCGACAAGGGGATCACATTGGCAGCTTCTAGATCAATACACGAGATGAGAGCTCCACTGGCGTTAAGCCAACCACTAAAACACGGCAGGACTAGCTTACGTCGTCGCTTCACATCTCTAGTAATTAAAACGAGAAAAAAACAAGATTGAAAGTGTAAACTCTGTGAATTGGTTGAAACCGGCGCGCGCGTCTGCCAGTGTCACGGCCGTAGTAGTTGATGCGCTCCAAAATAATAATATCGGCGACATTGACATACGGCGACCGAACGGTAAACAATAAATGCAAGCACTACGAGACCTGAATGTGGGAGCGCCCACATGATGCTACCAACTAGCGACGCACGTGAGCGCGGACAACGTCACAAACTATTTCAGGACAATAACATAACAGTTTAAATGTCGACATTGCACCGAATATGGAACGCGAATCGACATAACGTAGACTTTAGCTGATATATTCCCTGACGTACCTATAGTAGTACCGCATAATCTTGTTTCATTGTTATGCCATCTGGTCCATCTCCCATGACACATCATTGTTAGCCACTAAATAACATTTAATATAATTGTTTATGAGAGAGATGACATAATACAGAGCCGTTAACGTAATAGAAACTCGTGTCAAACATATAATACAAAACATAAATGAATTGCGCAACCAAATTAAGTTATGATGGCACAAACAAAGGTAATTAGTTTGAACCTTGACTCGAATTTAAATATTCGAAGTCAATAAATACACTCCACGCAGGGTGAACACGAGCAGGGGTGAAAACAGAGTCCCCAGCTGCAGATTACAAAATTTACACACTCGAATACGTGCTCCTGACACTCGTGTCGTAAATGTTAAGCAATACTCAAATTTTGATATTCCATCAAAAACATATTTCCCGTTCACCAGGGACATACACAAAATAGCAATCCTACAACCAATATGAATTTGTCCACCAGAGGAAGTGAGACATGTGAAATTGACAGAATGTCGGATGCAATGCAAATCTGTGGCGTGCCGACGACAACCATTTGTCGGGTAATCAGAACGACCTGGTCAAAATCGTAGCGTACACATTGCAAACTCTGTTTCTGAGCGCGAGGGTTCAATTTAGAATCTGATGAAATTAAACTGGTATGGTGCTAGGAGACTGCGAGAAAACGTATCATATCACAACAGAATAGGGTACGAAGTCGATTTGTCAGTTGATAATGGTAACTGTGATACAAACGGGAGAGACTGCCTCGGCAATTTGCCTATTGCTGCGTTCAATTATCGCCCCCCGCACTCATTACTGAATTAAGGCGAGAGCGACTGTAAATTTTGTGACGCCTCTGCTCTGAATTGAAAGGATGCTTTAAGTGGCCATTCGTTACCTGACCGTATGATGCACAAAATGGCATGGTATTATGGCATTTTAACGAGAGCAGTTACATGCAATCATAAAAGGAAAATAAATCTTAAAGAGTGGTCAAACTTAGATTTAACTAGCCCATATTTAAAACTATTGACATAAATACTCAATGAATTAAACGTCTCAAAGGATTGGTTAAAACAACAATGAAAATATTTAGAAAATTTTGAATTTATCGCGTTCACACTAATGGTAAGAGATGGTAACATTATTTTATAAACATGCAGTGTTTTTTATTAACTTAAAAAAATATATGTTTTCCGTTGAAAGTAGTAACAAGTCTTATTTAGCTTGTAAAAGAATTAACAACATTCATGGTAACCGATGAATAAAGTTGATAGCTGGAGTAGAATTGACATCTTTCAAATTATTCCCTACCTTCTCGATAACATATATTACCAACGTCAATAAATGAATGTACTTGAGATGTAAGTGATACAACCATAGCAGCTGTTTATCATACCAGGCTAGTCGTAAAAGTCGATAAAGTTGAAAAGGGTTTTATGCCGCTCTGTCTATATGTCTGGCAACTTGTCAATATTTAGAGTTAGACCATTGGATAATATGAAGATTGGTACAATATTTCTTGAGTATACCACTAAGTCCAAATTATACGCCCAGAGTTGCTTTGATGCGTAGTAACCTTGTGGCAACCTTAATATAAAACTGTTCATGTCTTATGGGATAAAACTATGATTATATGTGTGTATCTAATAAGTTAGAACTATTATAAAGAAGCTTTCATTGAACAAAAATGTCGGTCGCACAATTTTATAATAAACATATTTTTGTATCAAATATTAAGCTCAAGAAAGGTCAAGAATCATCAAATAGCGCAATTGATACTGACAAAAGTTTTACGCATCTCACCTTAAGACCGCCGTAGTAACGTAACCAGTTTTAAAGCCAAATCATAGACATTAAACTATATGAAATTTGTTTGGCCACTCTTTGGCAAAGTCGCTTATCCAAACCATAGAATCCAAAGTTGTAGTAACCAATAAAATATGTACATTATACCGTGCCTCCCTCACATTAGTCGCCAAAATGACAACAGTATATGTGAACGGAGTAAACAGTATATGTGAACAGACTAATTGGGTTTTATTATTCCATTTCTTATGCTGTTGTCAACATCTTTATGGGGTATCAATCAACATACTAACGAAACAGCAAACGAAAGAGACCATTTCTTAAAAATTACTTTAAACAGCACTAATATCGACCCTGCCTGTAACTCAAGTGATATATTTGCAATCATCTAATGTTTATTTTAACGTGACTCACCAGGCATGAAGTGTAACAGGGCAGCGGTGATGGGGTACAGACTCGGGCTGTATGTGATGTCTGGACAAGCAAAGCCGAGCACGGAGACCACGCGGTCGGCGACGGCGCGACCTTTGCGGGTCAAGTGATATCCAAAACAATGTGTCGCCTCTACGAATGGTGGTAGCATGATCGGTTTGTCCGGCAACTCCACCGTGCCGAATACCTGCAATATTAAAAAAAAAACACTGTAATATAATAATAATTTTAGTTGCAAAATTAGGAAACACTATAGACACATTTGTTTGTATGTTTAATGTCAGAGATCAAACAACATAATGGGCTTTTAACCCTTCTGAACATGAGTGCTATAAATTTGGATTGCCATTAATTTGCGACATGTGATTGCTATTTTCACTTTTATGTTTATAGTAGAGATAGGGTACATAGATCACATAATTTATTTATTTATTTATTATTGTGATAAAAACGACGTACATCAGTTACAATTCATACATGTACCACCATTCAGGGACATTTCAGATCATTCGTTGTGATGTTTTCCTTAAAATCATTTGGTCATCATTAAGAAATTGTTGGCGCATTGAATGCCTGTAAAATTTAATTTAGACCTCCACTTTTTCTATTTATTTTTCACATGAAATCTGTGAAAAAATGATAGTGATAAAAATAGTATTAACTAATAACGTCAATAGTAAATTCCGATTTTAAATTTTGCTCTTTAATCTAGTTTGTGATATAATTCTACCGATAACGCCATTCAATCGCTATTTGCGAAGGTATTTTATCGAATTGATCGAGAAACCTTATCACCTTATTTTTACAAAAACACCGTTACGAATAAAATAACCAAACCAATGAAACATTTCATTTAAGTAACAATAGCAAAATAGAAACGCAATTGAATTCGATGAGTAAAATCAATATTTAATTTAGACTTTTTTATAGTCCTGCTTTTATTGGGTAAATTAAATTTCGCTCAGTCCACTAAAAATTCAAATCAACAGCCACAAAATAAAATGTACGAGTATATTATTTATAATACTTTTTCTCAGTTGAAGTGGTCGATATTATACTAGATCGAAATAACTCGATCAAGGCGGATGTTTTTAGATTTTAACTTCTAGAGTGCTCAGTTAATGCAAATTGATTTAGTAAACACATATAAATTTGTTATCCAATCTCCTGCGGACATATTCACGAGTCGGGCGTGATTATCCACTTTGCATGCAAGGCCGTGTACGCCATACTAGTCGTACGAAATATGTATTTCGATTACATACATATGTTATTTGCGCCATTTTATTTTTGTAAATGTAAACTAATATTATAAGAGGACTGAAATCATTAAAACCGTTGAAATTATGGTTTAAAAAAAGGCGGTGAGAAGTTCGCGTGTCCAGTAAGTACCTAAATAAAAGAAAATATGCATTGAAAATGTATTGAGACCGACAAATAAATGCATAAAATATTAACTAGTAAAACAACTGACAATCGCCAATAATTACCGTGGTGTAAAAATGTATCTACGAATCCATCTATGCTAAAATTGTCTCGGACAAAATTGGAACCAGTATAAAAACACACAGTTTTGACTGCTAGGCCACTGAGGCAAGCTGCTGCCTGTAGAGTCTATTTGATTGTCGGTATGACAATCAAAATACCTTACTCCGGTGTACCTTTTTCGATACACGAAAGGGTACCTAAGTGTCCTAAACTTCACCAAACTAATTAATATGTCTTTTATTACTTTCTGTTTTCAATATTTTTAACTGCATCACAAATAAGGCTTAGTGGTTTTAACTGCATTATGAATACGGCTTAATAAACAAATGGAAAATAATATTTGCCACTTATTTATTTTATTTTATTTACCATACAAGGTTACAACCAGCTCGAACCGATTTAGGCGTAAAAACAAAATAAATCGAAAGATTATCACAGAAAGATAAATATAATTTATTGATATAATTCAAACTTAACCAAGCTAATTACTCGTATATTGAAAAGAAGCGTACGATTTAAAACAGTAGTTCTCATTCAACAATCTTGCCCGAGATAACGAAAAAACGAACTATAAAGTTTCCGTAAATTTAAAGAAGTAACGAACGACCACATTCGTAATACTCATATAGGTCGCCAAAGCAAATAATACAGAAGACCTCAAAGATAACATCTAACGTCGTAAAGGAGACTACTAGAAATCACAGACCGATACCAGATATTCTAAATTTAGAGAGTCAACAGAGCTCAAAAATTCGCAAAGAAGAATTGAAGAAAACACTTCGTTCAATCCGGGACAAGATGAATTTATTAATGAATACTTTTAAATAAATTTAAATGATAAATATAACAGTAAACAGTATGACAATAAAAACGTAACAAATTGACATGACATAGTACCATTGAATGCTCTGTATGTACTTACAAAACAAGAATATTTTTACGATTACGACGATACATTGTGACACTGTTACAACGGCGAGTTCCAAGCTGCATGAATAATTAACTAGTTGTTTTGTAGCTATTTTACAGAATACGCACTCCACATAAAGTAGTTGCTGCATTGTTTAGTAAATCGAAACAAAAAACACTGTGTTACCATGATAATGATAAAAGTACACATGAGGCATTTTCAGGGCCTCATCGGAGCAGCTAAGTAGTAAATTCTTTCGAACGAAATCAGTTTTTGATAGCTAACCCGGCAAACCAAGTACAGCCTTTGATTGAACATTTTTTTCAGTTTTCCAGAACGGTCACCTAAGTTTGTGATCATAGAAAATAAAGAGTCAGGGAGTTCCCTGTTTTTGTTGTTTTTAGTATTCTTCTCTCAATAAGAATCTTCCTCAGAATTCAACGAATATTTCATTAAAATAGTTCCAGCCGCTCGGGTTTTGAGCTTAACAACAATTTGGTAATTCATTTTTATTTGTTATTTACTTATATGTTTACATAAACTTAATACAAAGATAAAAACTTTAAATTATAGTTCAACTAGCTTTCTATCCGCGGTTTTGCAAGAGTGGACTATATAATTTTTAAACACTTAATTAACCCAACGGGGATTGCATTTTTTAAAATCTACGTAGTTTAAATAACTATTAGTGTGCCAAATTTCAGCTCGATCCATCCAGTAGTTTGTTGTGTGTTAATAGATGCGTCAGTCATTCACCTTTCTTTATATTTTAACATTCAAATAAGTAATGTAAGTTTAATATTGGTACATTTTGCTATACGTATCTACTACAGGAACTTTAGAAACAGCTACATAATACATTGTTAAATATTTTATTTCGTTCAATATCAGATAATGGACAATAACTTCATCTCATGCTAAAAATATTTAATTTGTTCTACTGTCAATGTTCAGTATTGAATATAATGACGGCTAAGAGAGAGAAATGAATGTATTTCTCTAAAGATATTTGCGCCACGAACCTAACATCCGGGCCCCTTGAATAATGAGTACCGTCTAGAGCAGTCGGTTTTTTACACTACACCACAAGCCAGCCGTCTCTGCCAGAAACGATATAGCGACTCAAATCATTCAATATGGCGACGGTGAATTAGTCAATTTAAAAAAAAAATCATATCTCAATACAGTTCAAAACGAAAAAACTTTACTTTTGCTGTTGATAAAGCTGTTTAGTAATTTTCAATTCCTCACAGATGAACAATTTTCGCTAAGCTTGGTGATACTAACTTTTGAATAAAACTAACATTAGAGAATCTTTATGTGAGTAGGATTTTATGAATTGCCTATGAGCATGAATTGAAAAGAATTGGGCTCATTGTCTCACAACTATTGTTATTTCTTGTAAAAAAAATCTAACAGAAAAAAAAAGTTGGCGATGATCTGAGGAGTTTGCGTGCGCGCCACGCCTCCTGCGCGCACGCGCCGTCCTTGGCTCAGTCAAGGTCGCCCACGCACTTAGTTGACGCACACCGAGCCAGCACTAAAGCCTGCTTTGTTTATAAACTAAAACCAGCTCTCCGGGAGGTCGATACCATCTTTAACGATGAAAAACATGTAATGGCAGTAATTAATTCAGCGCTATTACATTAGAACTGAGAACTTGTTGAAAACTTAACGAGACTCCTTCAACGCTAATCAAAAACGACACAGGTTGTCCACTAATGAATAAGACACGCGATCTTAGTCACGCAGTATTTGACAATATGTATCATGAGTTTATTCTACTAAAAACACGAATATAATTTTATGCATGAAATGGAAAACAACATGGGGCAAAAAAACAGAAGCCCGAAACACATCAGATTCTTGGCAATTGTTTTAGGACGACTTATCACACACACATACAACAATGCAAACATAAATAAACGTTAAATAATATATAAATCTATTGTTAAGTCACTTTATTATCAGTGTTGACCTTATAAAATAATGTGTATTTATTTATGTCTGCTCAAAACTATTTCAAGTGTTTTAAGTGCTTAGTCAGGTGGTATAAAGTGATTTTACTAACGCGGTGCGTTCTTATAAATATTGGAATACAAATTCAAATATAGATAAATTTTCATAAGCGATAGACAGATATTTATGTAAGAAATTAACAAAACACACACATCGCTTCCATTGTTAATACGAATGAAACACGTGAAACGACCGACATACAGTCGGATTATAGAGGAGAGGATGATAATAGTCACGTGTGTGGGCGAAGCGTAAGGCCCTAATTAAAGCAGACACAACCCCGACACGACCTCTAGCCACTGACAATCAACGGCTAATTGAATAAAGTGGACCGACAAAAGCAAAATTGCGAATTTGATGCGATTTGCTCAGTACTGGAAAAGAAGTCTCGTTGAGCGTATTAATAATTTTGAGTTCATCATCCAAATCACCGATTCTAAATCGTAATGGAACCATAACAAAAGTAATAAATATGGATATGCAAATGAACTCCGAAAATAAGGCAAAAGTTTTCGTATATGCCCCGCTGGATAAATAAATACGAGGCCGGTGTGTTATTCTCCGCGAATAAGATCGATGATACTATTTTCGTCGGAGCAAATCCACAAGGCGGATTCCGTCTGAAATAACTCCGTGTTTTACCATCTAACCGCTCGGCGAATGTAAATCTTTCGCGATTGTGAGTCGATTGTGAAAAACACTTGTGTTATATCAGGACCTAGATACTTCGAGTGAATTGCTAAAGATACTTATTGTAGCTATGCAACATA